AAAAAAATATGGTCTTATTGTTCTGACCCTAAGCACTTGTTTCTGTAAACGAACACATTTCGATTTACGACCAAATTGTAGGTACTTAGGAACTTAACATATACGTCCAATGCAATAAAGATTTTCAGAAAATATTATTATTATTAACATAAAGAGATAGATGACACCGTAAACACAAAAATCATAAATTGTAGTTGTTGCCTTATTGTACTGACAGTGCGATATAATAGTACACTTTAGAAGTTTCAAGTACCCACGAATAATATTATACAATCACAACAAAATAACTAAAATAGTTATTCTAGGTTTTTTAATATGTAATTTTGTCCAAACATGAATTTAAAATGTCTGTAAAAAATAACTGTGCTCATATATTTTTTAGATTTTTTGGCTACAGTATGAACTATTTATGAGAATCTTTTTTATTAAATGTTCAATCCTTAGCTATAAAAACTGAACATTTTATAATTTATTAATTACGATGATTGATAATTTTCGAGATTTTGATAAATTTTGTCAAAATGCGATCTTTAAATGCTTATAAAAAAAAATTGTGCCTATGTATTTTTAATATTTTTCAACTGATATTGTAATAATATAGCAGGAGCCTTGTATTAAATTTTTACACTTTTTGGCCCAACAGATAAAACTTTATTGATATTCATAGAAAAAAAAACTAAAAAAATTGAAAAATGAAAATATCCGTAAACAGCTCAAAAAGAGTCAAAATATTTTCAAAATTGTATGGTGTATAGGAAATGCTAATATAAACATTCAGTGAAATTTTCATGTATCTATAGTTATTCGTTTATGAATAACAACAAAATAAAGAAATCGCTACATGAGAAATCGAGTGAACATCCAATGTTGTAAAAATTTGAATTTCAAACGTTCATAAAAATTTAAGTTGACTGTCCGGTAGAGATTTTTTTATTGATAAAGGTAGACAAACTTATGAGTAATCTTGTATTACATTTTCAAATCTTAGATTTAAAAAGAAAAATTTTTACGAATTCTTAACTCAAAATAATTTGCTAATTTTCGTGATTTTTAATATTTTTCATATGATTTTGAAACAATATACTAGGAGCCTTCTATTCAATTTTCAAATTTTTTAAACCAACAAATAAAATTTTATTGATATTTCTAGAAAAAAAAACTAAAAAAAAATTAAAAATGAAAATGTCCCTAAACAGTTCAAAACAAATCAAGATCTTTTGAAAATGTTATCGTGTATAGAAAATGCAAATATAAACAACCATTGAAAGTTTCATGTATCTACGGTCATTTGTTTTAAAGTTACACCAAAAACCAAATTCAATTTTCTGATAAATCGATTTTGCGTAAAAATTCCCGTTTTTCCTTAATTATTCTTTGGTTTTTCCCGGCGCTTTTGGAAATTATACTGGGAAATTTAACCTCCCCAATGCACCAACGATATTCACTTTCCAATCGAACAAGATACTGAAGTCGAAAATCGAAGCATTATTTCGACTATTTATCGTGTACACAGACACAAAAATAAAAAAAAATATATAAAAACACACATCATTGTAAAATCAATACATTCATCGTTCCACTCAGAATCTAAAATATAAAGAAGTACACTTAATAATATGATAAGAAAACCACAAACTAATGCTATAAAATATTCACGAATAACTAATAAAACTAATCTAGTTCTAGTTTGAAATATCAATATTCTATAGGATATCGTTGATTTTACAAAAAAATTAACTCGGTTTACCTGCGTATATTTCCTCAAAAACCTATTTAATTGATAAATTAAAATTAGGAATTTTTTTAAACACGTTTTTTGTGTGAAAAATATGAGGAGAGGCCGTACAGTGATAGAACCCAAATTAAAAATGTTATGATGAAACCATTGTTAATTTTCAGTTCTGTTTGTATAAGGTTATTGTACTGTATTGTTTAATTGCGCACAAATAAATAAAAACAGAATAATAGTATAAAATTATATAGTAAAAAACAATTCGATGAATATTTTTTTGGAAATTAATAACTTTATATTTTTAAAACTATTTCAATAGCTTAAGACAATACGAAAATAGTTAAATTATCAATGGAAATTGCCATAATTATTTGAAAAAATTAGAATAATAATAGAAAATAGGAATAAAGAATCTGATATATTTTTTAAATAGCTGGAAAGAACAAATATGGTGGGACTTTGGGCTCAATAAACAACAATACATTTTAAATGTTACCTATTATACCTACCTAAATACCATAATTGGACATTGGTTATGTACCTATATTTATTATTTATTTAATTATTTCTTTATTAGTTTCTATATAGTTACTTACCTATTATATTATGATTATGTTGGTACACCTAGTTATTTTTAAAATTCATCGCACTTATTTAAAAATTCATAAATATGATCTATAATTACTCATTAAAATACAATATTCATGGTTCATTAAGTTATTGTTACAATAACGTTTTATTTTTATGTACTCAAAATTTTGAAATAAATACTCGACATTTTTTATAATCAACTACGTCTTAAAACATTTTATAATTAATCAGATAAACTTGGACACATAATGAACATAATGAATTTTTTTTTTGAAGAACGAATTTTAAAATTATTAATTTTTGAAATATTTTGTCCAATAGAATTATATAGAATACTATATTATTTATAGTACTTACCTAGAGATAATATGTATAGGAATTTCCGGCAGTCGAGAATTTGAGATAACTGACACGTATTAGAAATGTATACTGCACACTCAAAATTTCTCACGTTAGCATGTCTTTTTTATTTCATTAAGGCACATAAATTTGATAAGTAAAATATAAATTTTTATATTTAAAAATAGAAAATACGTGAGTGATGGCCATTTGATGCCATATTTAGGTAATTATATATATGTACACATAAGTAAATAATTCATGCAATTAATGTAGATAATTACAATAGTTAATACGTTGGTACCTAATAGGTACATTGACACATTGTAGTATTGTACATACTAATGCATGATAGGTATGTACCTATATTATCATAGTATGTATTTATTTGTAATATGTATCCAAATACAAAAACTTATACGAAATTTACCTATGAGAGAGCCATACCTACATCATAATAATATTATAATATGACTTTGTTATTTTGTTTTTACATTATTTTAAATAGAGGTAATTATTATAGTATATTTTACCTGTGGTTTATGCGTTTTTCCCTTCGAAAATCTATGTTTAGGAATATAAAAATCTACAATGGTAGTTACATTACTGTCTGTATATTCAATTAAACGAAAATAAACATTTTCATCTTTATAATTTCATAATTTAATAGGATAAAAGCAATACTAGAATTAATGTATAATATGAATATAAAATAATACTTACACATTTAATTAGAAACTATTGTACACTACAGCAATAAAAACAATAAAAAGCATAAATTCATTGGTAGGTCAATAATACTTAGGTATACAGTTAAAGCAACAAAATAAATAGTATACCTATTTAAAGTTGCGTTCCTTATAATATATTATAATTGAAAATAAAGTAGGTAAGTAGGTAGTAGTTATAACTTATAATGGATATAAGTTTAAAAAGTTCTATAATACATCTATGCGTCATGCGTGAAAAGTGTTCATAATTGTTTAATTATAGTTAATTATGCTAATAGTATTGATTAAGTACTTAAAATCAATGCTATTATTAGGATGACTCCTTTACTTTATTTAGCCATTTAGGAGAACTAACCATTTGGAAGCAGTTTTTCTCATATAGGAATAGATTTAAAGTAAAAAATATTTTAAAACCAATTTTAATTAAAATTCCATAAATTATGAATGTAAAAATATCAACAGTAAATGTATATACGGATTGGATATAAAAGTATAACGTGAATACAATAAGCGACTGTGGTTGAGATCGATCCTATTATTATAGATTGTTGAGCAGATGATATTTGGAAAATGTTGATATATCTAAAACAACATTTAAATGAGTAGTTTTTGAATTATTTTCCTCTGTGTATTAAGGATATAATATGTCGATAATAATTGATTTAAATACATATGGAACTATGATGGTATATACTATAATGGTTTTAAAAATATAATTAATTATAATAATTAATATTAATCGATTAATATTTTATAATTTGTAATAAGTGTCTATGTCACATCTATAATAGACTAAATATTACTCATATTTATATTTATATAAAATAATTATTAAGAACTATTATCCATTTAACTATTTAAGGTTGATACATACATTTTAATCACTCATAAGTAGAGTAAAAAAATCACTTGTTTGAATTTCAATTTAGAATCATTAGTTATAAATAAAAAATATCTGCTTAACAATAATTTACAGTCAAAAAGGTTGGTTCTCATTTGAAAAAAATACGTTTGTAATTTGTATCATGACATGCCACTCCTGTAATGGTACAAACAATTTAAGTATTTTGAAAATATGGTGATCACTCCTCAAGGTATACATAAAATACCCTGTGAATCACCCTATACGTACTGTTACGAACGGAAATATATTTCACAGGTATAATATTTATATTAGATAAAAATATACAATATAAAAAGAATAATGATGTATTATTTTCGAATTCTCCGATTAAGAAAAATTAATTGAAAGATCACTGCACTCTTTTTGGAATATCGATTCGACGAGGTACACAGAACCGTCTCATCATAATATTATGCTCCTATTTTCTACACATTTTCTAATGGCGTAGTCGGAAAGTTATATTATGCGCACGCGAAACGTCGAAACTTATTTGTCACGAGAGGCTGGAAAGAGCAGTAACAATTATGTTTATTACGTATATAATATAATGGTGTCCCGCAACGATAAACTAACTAAAAACATCGTGTATATTAAACAGTATACTATTTATATATGTTTAATTGGAAAACATTCGCGAAAACCACCCTGCGTGGCGTTTTGGGGGTGCGTAAAAAATATTATTATTAATACTACTATTGTAGGACTAAGAGTTTTCGATGTTTTCTGGTAGCAGGCGGTCGATCCCGATCCGTTCGGCTTCGACGATGGTGTCGGGCAACTTGATGTTTTTGCTTTCCGGAAGAGTCATGGTGATCCCGGCGGCCACAAGCGCCGTCACACCAAACACAAGCATGGTCACGTAACTGCCAAAGTATTCAGCCTGAAAATTTTTTTAAAAATAAGTCGGTTATGAGGTGAATCGTGAAACCAAAAAGCATATTATACTATATATACAGAAATTGAGATGGTAATGATGAAACCCATGTAACTTCTTTAATGACATCTCGACTTTTTCACTTATTTTGGCTTTATTTTTCCATGCTATTTTTTTTATTAAATTATAACTAACTATATTTATTGGATAATAAATTAAGGGAAATACCTAACTTAATTACTAGGAAACGAGAGTTTCTATACTATTATCATTAATAGCAGTAGCTGGTTGTAGGTACTATGACCGTACTCACGGTGGGGGGGAGTCATAGAGTTTAAACCCCCAATTGGCCATTTTTTTGTAGGTTTAATTTGGCTGTAATACGATTGAAAACGTTCGACCTTTTTTAGCGTACGATTGAGATCACTCGAAATGGAACAATGAAATAACCGCTGACCCAATAAAACAGTACTATTGAGAACGAAATTAAGTGCAACGTTGCCGAACTATATTCAAGTCAAAATAAAAATTAAATAAAACATTGAATAAAATAATTAAAAATTATAAATTTTAAAAATGTCATAATTTTAAAAAAAATCTGTATTATTGGTACCTACCAATAGTACAAACATTTAAAAATAATTTACAATTTAATTCCCCTATATACATTTCCCAGATGTGTTAAATATTTTACTAATCCTTCAGAAGATTTTTTTGACAGTAGTTTATAAGATTGTATTGTTTTTGAAATTTTTTCTTCATCTGCTTTTGATGCCTTTTGAACAGTACCCTTTTGAATAGTATTGAGTTTTAAAGACGTTTATTCCTGCCACATAGACAGTGTGTGAGCAGTGCTAAGAGTCATATATATTTATATAGGCTATAGCCAGTGGTGTATTGGTAAATAAATTTATGGGTATACGCACCTAAAAGTAGTTGAATATAGTATATACCTATATATACGATATACCTACCTTAAAAATTTTCTCGCTCCACTCAAAAAATCATTAGGTACACTTTGTATTTAATAATCTTTTATTACTTTATTACAAACACTTACTCTTCATGTGTATATGTATATACGGTGGCGTATATACCCCCCTATATACGCCCCCCAGTTCACCCTATATTCACCCCATCCATAAAATTAATTCATATATACTCCACTGTGTGTAATATGTACCAAGTATCAATGTATTATTTTTTTTTAATTAATTCAATTTCATGGTATAAGTCTAGTTTACCGGGCACCTTTTTTTTTTTGAAATTTTTTTTTTAAAAGGGTTGCCAAACGGTCGCCAAACTCGAGGTCCTCCGCGCGGCATTATAGTAGTGTTGCGCGCACGCGTATAAACGTAAAATCGTTAACTTTGGGAAGCTATAACTTCCAAAATAATCATTTCCGAAATTTTATTTTTGCACCATCGTTCTTAACTCGTCAAAACAACCCTTTTCAAAAAAAAAAAATTTAAAAAAAAAAATGTGCCCGGTAAACTAGACTTGTTCCCAATTCATATATGATATATCATATATATATCATAAATAATACAACTTTTTATTATCAAATTTTAAAAAAATTGTACAGTAAAATACTTATATAGTAGAAGTAGCGGTACGTTTATTATCCATTATCGATCATATAATATTATAATATATTTATATATAAAATATTTTATAAAATTAATATAATGAGAAACTAATAGTTCGATTTTATAATTTGGTTATTGGATGACAAGTAATAACACAATACATCAACAATAATTATTTTATTATTATTCTAATTTGTCATTATCATTTAGTTTGAAATTACGTATGTTTATTGTTTTATATTATCAATAATCGTACACGATTTTTTGACTACGGATCTATTTTTAACTATTAGAATAACCATACTAGGGCACTATAGATACAGGTAGGTATGATACGCCGCCATTTTGCGACTAATAATCTTATGTGAATATGAATTTCTCCATAGATAATATAAGATAATATTAGATAATATAAGATAATATTCTTATATTATCTATGAATTTCTCCCCCTTTATTTTATCATTTGATCATTGATAAAAGAGTCGCAAAATGGTGGCATAGCATACCCATGGTATGTAGAGCCTTAACCATACACGACACACCGCGACCGATTCAGTGTACTGTGTATGTATATACGATAAAGCAGTGGTTTATAATATATTTTTGAAACTTTAGTAGGTATAAATTAGAAGCGTGCGTATACCCATAAAAGACTAATTTTCTTAAAGGTATACGCATAAATCCAAAAATAGGGATCCGGGTATACGACGTATACCCGCGTATACCCTCCAATACACCACTGGGCCTATAGCCATAGCCGATTTTTATATGGCAAAGTTTGGCAACGTTGCGCGGAAAAATAAAAACTGAGCGTTCTCAATCGTAATAGTCAAAAGGGTCTAAGAAAGGTATCGCCAATAATGACCGTTCTCAATCGTATTCCTGCCGTTAATTTAAGATAACGAAGAAGATTGTTTGTTAATTCCGGGGCTGCATCCGAATTGGTTCCCATACCTGAAAATTGACATCCGAATGTATCCGAATTGGTTCCGAAACGTCCGAATTGGTTCCCGGGTTGTTTCAAAAGGTATATCCGAATTGGTTCCCGGGTTATTTCAAAATGTATATCCGAATTGGTTCCCGGGTTGGCTTAATAAATAATTTATAACAAACATTTTTTAAAAATTCAAATCTTAATTTAAAAATATAAAATAAATATTATAAATACAGGTATATCGTTTTTTTTTTTAATTCATGCATTTTTTTTTATAATTATTAAAACTTATAGCAAACATTTTTTAACTATAAATTAATTAATTATTTATATTATAAACGATTATATTAGACGTAAGTCTGTATCGGGAACCAATTCGGACGTGTGCCGCCTACCTAGAATATCGGGAACTAATTCGGATGTGTGTTGCCTGGAATGTCGGGAACCAATTCGGATGTCAATTTTCAGGTATGGGAACCAATTCGGATGCAGCCGTTAATTCGTTAGAAACGAGATACGAAATAAGTGTGTCCTATAAGTGCTTTTTACCTATAATTATATAACATCAGTTTTTGGTGTGGTCGTATAAACAGTACATAATCAAGGTTTAAGTCTGGAAGCTTAAGATCCGGTTGACGGCTCTTGAATTTCAGATACAAGAACATACCATTTTCAAGTAATAATTTGTACCACAACGATCCTAATAAAACGGATGTAATATATAGGATATTAGGATATATAGGATATTTTTACAAGCCATAAGTTATAAGTTGACAGGCCTCTCAAAGTCCGATCGTTATGATCGTTTCGGAAAAATCGTTAATGTGTAGTGTGACTTTTTTACATACCAGCAGCGTGGCCTGTGGCGCCAACATGGATCCGACCCGACCGATCATAGAGCACACGGATAACAGGGTCGCTCGCATTCTGGTTGGGAATATCTCCACCGTCAGCATGTAGATGACGCAAAATGCGACGGATATTGCGAGCTTACTGATCAAGAATATCGATAACTTAATTAGAAGGAATGCTGTTTTGAAAAAAAAAACAAAAATAATAATGTAGCTTATAATAATGTGTATAGATATTACTATATTAGATAGGTAGGTATTGTATAGCGTCATAAGTAGGGATCGGATTTGAAGGCAAAAGCCTTATTTCTTTTAATAATCATACCAGAAAAATAATTTTTATACAAAAATGTGTTTCATTTAATTTCTAAGACGATGGATGTATTTTTTTTTGCCTTTTGTACTTATAAATGCCTTTTTTGTGTTTAATTTTCAGTTGATTACACAGCTAAACATCTACTAACTAGGTAGTTAGTATATTTAATTTTGTAGTATATTTTTGAATTGCTTTTTTATATAAATGAAATGCCTTCTATTACATTTTAAATGCTTTTTTTATTGATTATATTGCTTTCAAAACCGAACCCTAGTCATAACGAGTCATAACTATTATAGGGGTCAGAAATTATAGTAGTTAAAATCAATAAAATATATGCACATGAAAAGTGTGAGATATGCAATTAGGTATCTATTCAAAATATAAGAAAATAATTTATATTACATATTGATTAAAAAAATAAACACCTATGTGATTAGGTACAGTTTAAAAATAAAGAAATTTAGGTACACTTTTTTTTCCTAAAACTGAAAACGACGGAATAGTTATTTTGCTCATTGAACATTATTTACTCGATAGCGGTAACCTTATATACTTACCATGATATAATATTACTACCTACATAATGATCTATTATGATCGAATCTAGGATAAAATAGGCACATTATAATAATTTTGTCTGGTAAAATATTATGTTTGGCAAAAATAAATAGGAACCGAGTAGACTGTTTAATTATATACCAATGTACCTAATATATTATAAATTTCAATTAAGACGGATTAAGTATAAATTAGGAGGTCTGGAGGTATAGCCGTATAGGTAGGTACTTTAAAGTCTCAACTTAGATTTTAGGTTTCAGGTATACTCACAGTCCGGCACTAAGTTGTACAGGACACTGGTGAAACCACTCAAGATGAACATGCAGGACAACGACATTTTTCGGGAAAACCCTTCCATAATTAACCAGTTCAACAGGCAGGCAGGAATCTCGACGAACGATGCCAACGAGAAGTTCAGATACTTGTCGCCGGCGATGTCAGCCGCGCTTATTGTCAGCCCGTAGTATACCAGAGTTATCGCTATCCTGAGTAAGTAAAAATAATATGATATATTATGTGTGATTACTGCGTTATCTTAGTTGCTTATATTAGGTAGTCGTTCTTATAATACGATAATGTAATCCATAATCAAAACGAAACTTCAAATATTAAACAACAAATTGGCCGTCTCGTAAAAACTTTTGAATAGAAATGGAGTCTAAAATATATACTGTTTATTGTTCTCGGTCAACATAGACGGATGTGACTAGTGATTACTAATATATTTTCATCCCCCAACTCCCTTTCCCATTTTAAATCACCAAATAGTTATGTAAGACTTATGATAATTTGTTCTTGGAGTTTTATTGTATAAGTTAAGATATTTATATATTTTAAATTATGTTTTTTTAAATTTATAATTTAAACTCTATATCGTCGGCCTAATTCGCAAAAGTCGTATCTCCATTTTTTGTCATTTTGGGATTATTTACTCATAAAATAAAGAAAAAAAAACTGCGTCTGTTGATACAATCAAATTTCCGATTTCATAATATTATCCTCCATGAAATTGATAATTAGAAATCGTCGTATCTCCAATTAATAATATGGCCACGATATATTTATTAGGCAATCTAAGAAGAAAAAGTCCTAAGTCCATTATAAAATTATTAATGAACACTACAATGTTTAAATTGTTCTATTATAATTGCAATTATGTTTTTTAAATGAAAGGGAAAAGAATAATGTCTAATTTTATCAAAGTGAATTAATTAAACGTTTTTTTCTTCTCCTGAACAATTTGTAATTTTGGACATACGACCTTTGCGAATTAGGCCGACGATATATGATGTTTGTTTACAAATATGTGTAAATTATCTCTATAACGAATCGATAAAATAATCGCAGTGGTTGCCCAGAGTTCAATTTTTTTAATAGGTTTTGATTATATATTTTTCCTTGCTACAATTATTTACTTTACTTTTTAATATATTAATACACTTTTAAGTTGCACATCAGTATTGATATCAGTATTTCATTAGTTATTAAAGATCAACCATAATTAATTAATATTTGAAAAAATTTAGGGATATCAAGTTGTATTATTTTGTTATTTTTTTGTTTAGTAATTAGTTGGATTATTTCCTGTTTTTATTTATGTTAGTTACTACATACGATTGTGAAATGGTGTCACATTTTACACAATTACTATTTTACTATTGTGAAATGGCCAGTTATTGTGGAATGCTCAATAAATATTCAAACATCATTATTAATGATTTAGGATTCACAAGTGCCTACGTGATCTAAACATGGTCCTCCTGTAGTTCTGTTTCTCTTTTAATCTGGTTGTACCTACAGACTACCTAACAACGCCATACTATACATTTATTAAATGTCGATAGCCATTGAAGTCTAAGATGTTATTAAGTATTATAGAAACCTACATTGGAAGCGTCATTTCAACTTTTTTTTTGTTGGCGCCAAAATGTTGGCAGGCCATTCAAATCATTAACAGGCCACATAAAAAACTTTTTTTCAAAAGTGCAAAAACTGTAGAATATTTGTATACCTAGTTAATTTAATATGTCACTTATATTAGTATGAAAATATCACAATATTGTAACTATTTTTAAAAACTATGTGCACTGTGTAGGTACTTTAATATTTTATTATTGATTTATTTAAATAGCAATCCATATTTTTCCAATGCACCTTCATAAGCATAATATATTTAGCAATAGTCATTGGGAGATTGATTCTAAAAATATTATTAGACATTGTCAACAAGTGAATCAGGAATACATTTACGATGTACCTCTTATATGTATAGGTATATTTTTATTTGCTTATACCTAGTTATAACTTATAACTTATAAGTAAGTATTTTATCAAGGTAAGATTAATAATTTAATGTTCCAAGTATAGACTAAGTACGTTTAAGTTGCACCAATTCTAAAATACGAATTGGCACTAATAATAATTTATTTAGTGTGATTTAAATTTTTAAATTTGTTGTAGTTTATAGATAATAATTTTAAAAAAGACACTAAATGCTTGATTAGCATGTTTTGTTTTTTGTGTACAAGATTGTCTGACCTAATTAATAGAATATTATTATATGACGTAATTATATAGTATGTAAATTAACTACAAATATTATAAGGTAAAACATAATTAATCCACCGAATAATAAATAAAAAACACTTCACTTATAAGTGATAGATCACTCATAGATGGTTATAGCTTATGAATATTGAATATACAAAACAATATACTGTACTTATGGACTTAGATATTTAAAAAAAAAAACTTGAAGTTTAAATCTGCAGTACATATTACTTGGATATTTTTGTCCAGTTCAAATTTCTTACAAAATATCGTTCCATTATATATATGGGATCCATATTTTTTAATTTATTACTCCATACTCTTCAGTGCATTGATCATTTCCCACACGAAACAAGGTTACAAATACCCCATTACAATGATTACATTTTACAAAGGTAAACGGCAGTATACTATGTAAGATCCTGGTTTCCTACACGAACAATAATTAACTAATACATTAGTTTCTAAACTGCGATAAAATTAAATGCATTACTTACCCAACATTAACATAATCTGAACTAGGTATACAAAAATAAGTATAATTATTAAATCATTATCAATTATAATTATATTATAAAATTATAAATAATATGAATGGCACTTTTAGTTATTGCGATAAACGTTTTACACTTATAGTATTCCTATATATTATATATACCTACATGGATTTAAAAATTGAATTTACTATTTTTATTTCAATGATGTTTTAATTTTTACCGGATAAGGCATTAAAAACATGTTATATTGAATTATTAAAAAATTAATAAAATTAAAATAAAGTAGTAAGCTAAATAAATTTATGTTAGATTTTGAGATATCAATGCATCAAGCAATTAATATTTTTTCGAGAACAGAAATATGGGAATACCTATTTTTAGGGTTTAGTATTACTTAATCCAAGCTGAGTTAGAGATTGTTTTGTAGATAATTTCGTGGCTGGAAAACCAGAACATAATAAAACAAACGAATTTTGCGATTATTTAGGAACTAATTATATAGACTATAGAGGATCATTTACCATAGACCTATTAAGAAATGGACTGCGCATTGAGAGAGAAAACCAGTTTGATCGTTGAGTAAGAAGGATAGACTACAACTTACCCCGAATATGGAAGAAAAAGTAGCAATCACTAATTTCTCCAAGGGAATCAATCGTGATAATATAGGTATCATAATTCACAACAATGACAAATTTTGAATTTTGGATTTTTTTATTATTTTCAAATATTTGTATGAAATAGGCATAATGATTTTTTTGTTTTTAGTTATCCATTGTTTCCACAACTTTTATCACTTCATTTTAAGTTTTATAATAATAAATTATAAAAAAAAAAAAATCGAAAAAAAGTCCGTTGTAAATTAAATAAAAGTCAAACTTTAATAACAAGATCAATGTGCATTAAATAGGTATAAATTATAAATTAATATTCCTAATAGGTCTATGTCATTTACACGTGCTCCCCTCCACCCTAAAGTCTTAGTATTTTGATTACTGCTAGTTCTGATAACTTTACCACAAACGTTTGTTTCCAATTCCGAATTCAACTTAAATTGTCATCATTGAAGTTTTAAAAATGTTTCATACAAATACATATTTCAAAATAAGAATATCAGATTTCAACAGAACTTAAAAACACGAAGTAAAACAAAATATACTAACAAACTATCAGATTACAGTTTTAAAAATATATACAACACTGTATGACTATGTGAAATGTTTGGAGTTTTGTAATAAACCACATACAATTTATATTTTATGATTTTAGATTATGATTTAGCGATGAATGTATTGATTTTACAATGATGTGTTTTTTTTTATTTTCATTTTTTTTGTATCTGTTATCACATTTTAAGACCGTAAAGGCTTGCATTATCTTCAGCAGTATCTTTTCTGATAAGAAAGTAAATCTAGTTGATACTGTGGGAGGTCAAAATTAAAAATTCTTAATAGTTTTCAAAAGCGCAGGGAAAAAAACTAAATTGAAATTGTCCTTAAATAGCTCAAAACAAGTTAAAATATTTTCAAAATTATATGGTGTATAGAAAATGGGAATATAAACATTTAGTAAAATTGTCATGCATCTATTCAGTTATTTGTTTTTAAATTACAATAAAATAAGAAAATTGCTACATAAGAAATCGAATGAATACCTATCCAATGTTGTAAAAATATGAGCTTCAAACCCACATACAATTTAATTTGACTTTCATGTAGGAACAATTTTTTGAAATGTAAAAAATTTTCATTTAATCTGTTATCTTACCACACGAGTGAACATCTGATCAATCTAAATAATATTGTTGGTGAGCCGATCACGTCTTTTAGGATATTAACGTATTTCGCGTCGTTATCGTCGTCGTAATTTGTCGTCTGTAAAAAACTATTTTATATACATTTTTCTTATCACAATAAAATTAATGCTAAGTATTTTTTTAGCAAACAATCAGAAAATAACCTCTATTTGTGCGTTAGGACTTAGTACAGGTAAAGACTTTCTATTAATACCAGCTATTCTCTTGAGCACGTCGATCACTCTGTCGTGTTTGCCTTGCATTTCCAACCACCTCATTGATTCTTCTGTTAGCCTATGTATGAGAAAATAACAGTAATATTGTATTAATTGAAGTTAAACAAAATTAATCCCAAGATAATAACCAAAAGTATGACAAGAACAGCAAGCCCGGGATGTTGGATATCTGCAACAAAAGCCTCCAGTCTTTCACTATGCTGGCGATAAAAGCCACCAATATGGCACCAATGGGATAGAAACATTCCAGAATCGAATAGTATAGTACTCGGTGATTAGGAAGCACCAACTCCATCGCTGACATATGACATTATAAACACATTATAATTTTATATAGATACCCAACAATAATAACCTAATACACGTCTAAATAGCATACACGATGTTATTTGATTGTAGATTTGAATATTTTAATAATAAAGTAGTTTCATTCAATTTTAGAATCTTTTTGATGACATAGAAAATTAAAACTCATGATTCTTAAGCCTTCGAGGTTTCACTGTTTCAGTTTAATTTAATCGTTAGTTATCACAATTAAACCATTTTTTAAATTTATCTGTTAATTATCGAAACCGTTATTATTTTTGGGTGGGTAAAATAGTCTACTTACTATGTATGAAAGTTAATTTATCAGTTAGCACTTAGACAGGCTGTCCAGTAGCTTAGCTGGAGCTGAATCAATAGGGGAGAACTATTTAAATACTATATTATTGTATTACATATACTGATATACCTATACCTAGGCTATAACCGTCATTACGACATCACCAATAAAAAATTCGAAGGAAGGGGAGGGGGTGTATCCACCCATGCCAAGACACGGGCCACAGCTACGCCACTGAGACTGTCAATGTATCTTTATATTATACTGTTTTAAACAGAAAGGTATTATAAATAAAAAATTAAAAATAATACTTTATTTCAGTTTTAATATATTATGTATTTTTAATGTTTGCGTAGTTAGTTTTGCATTTGAATATTAAAACATTTTTACGTAAAAGGTACAAACTGCAAAGTAATACCTATTTGTTATGAGTATAATGTAAATTGTTAAATTATAAGACAACAAACTATTACATGTTTACATTACTAGTTGTCAGTTATAGACATAACAGTCTACAATCAATATGAATATTAATAAATTGTCTTCATTTATTATTTGGCAATAACGGTTGTACCTAACTTAAAACAAATTTATTTTAGACAATTTATACAGGTACTATTTATTAATTCAATGAAATCAACGTGTAGAATTATTTAATTAATTAAATTGATTACAAATATGTCGTATAAAGCAAAAAAATCTACGTGCTATTTTGTATGTGTAAACATCTATACGCACCTCCTCCCAAAAAATTACGGGCTGTAGAAATTTTGTGCAAACTATAGTAAAAACACGTAACAGTAACGAAAAATAGTTTTATTAAATTTCGTGGAAACCAGATTATAATCAAAATTAGGTACGTACACAAGTTATGAATTTTGAGAATTTTTTTTGAGAGCAGTTTTTCAGCGGAAATTAGAACATTTACAATCCCAAATTGATGTCTCGTTATCCTTATGCATAGTCAATTTGTGTGACAAATAAATTGAATATGCATACGGACAATATCACAAATCTATTAATATCTGAGTTATCGTTCGTTGATCAAGATTTAAGATCAAGACTAAATTTTGTAAAATAAATAACAAGTAATTGTTAAAGTTTTTTTTTTGTATAATATATAACTCGTTTCACCTGAAAAGCGTTTAGATATTTACACATAAAAATGTGTACTGTTCACAACTTATTTTTCTTATTAATTTAAAATTTCAATTACCTATGGAAAATATTCTTACCTAATACGAAGGTGACTGTATAAACACCGCTAGAAACGATGGATGTCAACAATTCCAAAACCAAGAACATCTGGTAATTGACCGAAAACGACTGAATGATAGATATTATGGCCGATGTAACAGCACAAAATACCATAGCAAACTTTCGACCAAATCTGAAAATTGCCGACAGTTCATAATCAGAGTTATTAATCGTTTTCAGACTTTCAGTATATTTTTTATTTGTATATAAGGATTCATTTTAATTCTTCGGGAGTTACATATTTGGGATATAACATTTTCACACGTGTATCGCAACTTGCAAGAACCTGTAAGTAATAACTTATATTTTTTTAAGTCACTTACTAAGGACTAAGGTATAAGTAATAATAGGTGCATATGGTGAGGCTATAATACAAATAAAGTCATTGTCGGTAAAAAAAAAAAATGATTTGTTTGTGTTTATTAATTACAGTTCAGAATTGAACGGTTGTGGTCACTCACTTGTCAGCAATGATTCCAGTCACGGGTATGCCGATAAACTGACCGAAGTTGTTGACCGTGCCCACCATCGACAGCTTCCATTTTTGTTCCTCGCACATGAGTCCAAACTATACGACGTATCACGAAAACACAATATACATATTATACATTATACAAACCAATATAATATTATATAAAGATTGAAGACACGGTCCGGCTATGACGGCTCTTAATTCTTATATTAAGTTAAAGTGTATAACCATCATATTAATATATTATATTATTATACAGACACATTTAGTGGAGCCAAAGATGTAGGCTTCACTGCTACCGTTTTGTACATAGATACATTGATTTTATGTATTGAAATATTTTTGATTAAACTACCGTTTGACGATCAAAAAAAAAAAAATCTATAAGCTACGTACTTAAAACTCACACCATTAAACTTTAATTGTTTTCCTTTATTTATTTTAACCGTAAATACTCACGATTGCATGCATGTACTTTAGCCCAACTACGACGCCGCGTGAACGTGATAAAGATTTTTTCGGTTTCATATTTCTTTTTAAAAATCTGACATAATATAGGTATCTACATGTAGACAATAGACTACAGACATATAAGGATTACGATTTAGCAGGCCTGGAGTGGCCTGTCATGGTGTGAGCACGTTGAAACACTCCCGCCTGCATGGCGAGTATGCTGCGTATACATTATAAGGCCAATAAGGGTTTATGTCTTATGATGTCTCATACGTTCGCTATACTGCTATTATAGTGCTACAGTGCTATACAGGATGTCCCGAGAGGATTTACTCATTATGATATCTCCTGAGATAATATCTTTATCAAAAATCTGTTTTTTTTATTAGACTGTCTGCAGAGACAAGGACTACATATACCTGTTTTATTTCTTAATTTAATTAATGTCATTTTGAATTTTTGAAACAATCGAAGATAGCCATTTTATAGATTTTAATTTTCTGAAAATGTTGACAATTTAACATTTTATTTTCATAAATCTCATGATTTTTAATAACTTTTTTTAGTTTATGGGTGAAACAGCAAGAAGCCGGTTTTTGTCCTGGCGGCGAGCCCCTCTCTACGGCTAATGGGTACACCCTCAAGGGGCACCCTGTACTACTGAGGGTATATTATATTTTCGTCATTTCATATTCGGAACCGTGTGATTTTTGCTTTAGTTAATTTTAAGGATACTCCGTGTTATTATCGATATAAATTTATAATAAGTATACTATTATAGTTTATATTTTATAATAAACAAAATATACATATAATATTATGTACCTCCGTGCCGATGGTGTTCTCGATGTCTTCGAACACCCATTCGTCATGGCACAATTCCGACGCGTTGCTATCGAAGTCTCCAGGCGCGCATCTCGTACCATTGGTCGGATTCCTGGAATACCGCTGACACTTGCGCGGAAGTCCTGTGTCTTCCCGGAATGGCGTCGTGAACCGCAACCATTCCGGATCGTAAGTCCGTTCGGCCGGGTCTGGGGAGTCACATCCCGGTACCATACACCTGTAGCATTTTGTGATTTTAACGATAATCTCCACAAAGTTTAAACTTCAAACATTCTAACAAATTAAGTAGGTAAGGGCTCGGACGCTCAACACATCGCTAACCCTTACTATTATTGTTTGTATTAAAAATCTTCAATCATGATATATTTTATGGGTGTCAAAAATTAGTTATTCTTCAGTAGGTACAATCCTTTCGGTAGTATGATCTAATATAATGATACATTGTCGAATTATTAAAATTTTTAAATTAGTGTAATATACTAATATGACTAAGGCAACCTACTGTGTACCTAATCGGTTCATATAATATTTTTTTGTACATACGATTACAATAATTTTTTCGCAGTGGTTATCAGATTTTTTTTACCCTTTTTTTGATAAGCTTCCAAGTATAGTATCATTTAGGTTTCTATTCAAATGAAATTAATTAAATTCCCTATAATATGCAATTGATTAGGTATATTAATATGAATAATCAGAACTACCGAGGTCGTTAAGAGTTCATTATATTGTCAAATCAGAGTATTCACAGAGTAATTGTCTAAGTAAACATTTTTTTATCATAAAATTTAATTTTGATGATTCTTAATTATTAGTGACGATTATTTTTAATCGTTGTCCCTCTCTAGAACAAATTCGTATAATTTATTATTACGCTTCTACCAAAGTGTAATGACGATATGACGTGACTATGTGAGTGGTTGTATATACGAATTCACGTGTCATATATAGTAAGATTTATCTAATGACATTTAATTATAAGTTGGCACATGTTTTCAACAAGTAGAAAAAAAAATGTTGTATCATTTTCACTGAACTTGAATATTTATAATTTACGCACCTACTCCAATCATAGGTATAATGATTATTGATTATGTACGTACAAAAACATAAACATAAATAATATGGCCAATATTCGATTTATTGAAGTTATAATAAAATATTATTTTAATAACTTTATCAGTTTTCCACCGATATGTTAAAAACTTAAAACCACATAGATACTTTTAACTTTTAAATGGAAACTTATCATTTTGATTTTAAATACTCAGTGGTAATAATTTTCTGAAAGTGTTCTAGTTATAACAATCTATGTTTAGATAGGACAAGTTTAGACTTGTAAGTTCGATCAAAATTTAATTCTGGTAAAATAAATCTACTGACAACCAACGCTTAGGTACACACATTTTTTAAAAATTTTAAGTATCTTAATAAATGAATAATCTTTATGTTAAACTAAAGTATGCTATACCTAATATTATTTATATTAAGAATATAGTGAGAGTGATGGAATTGTTATTACATTCAGGGAATCGTTAAATAAGTTATCTGGTGTAGTTTGTTCGAAAGCGTTATCTGGCAACTACTGACAAGATTACTTAAACTATTCAATGATTAACTATTATATAGAATAGATAAGAGAGTATAATAATTATTGAGTTATAATGATTTTAGGTGTGGAGTCTTTTTCCAGTATAATAAACTAATAAATAATTTATTATCAGTTTACACGGAAATTGGTAAATCGATTTCTTTACGATACTTATAATGAGACAAGACAACCATGCAAAAACCTATTTTTTCCGAATTTTGCACTTACAACACTATGCCATCGGATTATAATATAATATAATATTTTAAAAGTATAATTATGTTTGGTACTTTGGCCGAATATTGCAGATGAAAATAGCAATATAATGTATGGTTCACAAAATGATTGAAACAAACGCTGCGTATTTAAATACAATATATACCTATACATATATATATTGTAAAATGAGACTCAGAAGATTATATTTCATATTTAAAATATTTAACATAGGTGGTGCCAGGAGGATGCAGGGTCAGAACTCTTCACCACAAAAATAGAATTATTTTACATTACTAATTAGTGGCCAATTGGTTATTTAGTTATTACATAATATAAAAATACCAACTCTATATGAATAATATGTTTTATTTTATAATAAAACTGTTACCATAGTATACATTTTGAACCAATTATTATTATAATAGCTTCGAAACCCAAGGCAACCATTTATAAACAAAAATGTCCATCGAAAATCTCAAAATCCCTGTTTGAGCACCTCCCGGCGTTGGTCCTCTCCCTTTTTAAATTAGTCTATCCTCTGCCCAGAGGTCTAATCTATGTCTATCTCTGTACCAAATGATACCGTGCACTTCGTTGTCCCGGCAACCAATAATATTATTATTATAAAGGCGGGTTTCCACTACACACGGATGCGAGTACCTACGTGCATACAAATCATTTGCTGTGATTGGTTGTTTACGTTCAGTTACCACACGGTTAACCATGATACCGTGTTGTTGGACATAGCTGAACATTTTTCGTGTACACGGCAAACGTGTATAGTGGAAACCCGCCTTAATAGCTTCAAAACCCATGGTAACCATGGTAACCTTGGTAACCGATGGAAATTATTGATGGATATTATAATGAACATTACCATGTACATTATCTATGGAAATTATGTCATTATCTATGTACATTATCAATGGACACACACACAGACACACACATACACACATATACATTCATTTTTATATATATACACTATCACCACTCGACACTATAGACTGTGAGTAGCATGGTATTGTAAAAGTATTACAATTTTATATAAGAATCAAATAATCGGGGAGCTCGTGCTGCTGAGCAGGAGATACCTATTTAATGTACTTCATTATTGAGAAGGTCCGGTAATGGACATGTTAAAATTTAATTCAATGATAAATATTATTACCGATATAGTGTACACTTTAGTCAATACTAAAAATGATTCTGAGCGGAGATGGTGTGACAGCTTCTATATTTCTAAGGATATTTATTATTTATTTATATTACCATTAGTTTTTTTTTTTTATAAGTAATATGTTACTAATTTTTATATTTCATAATATTATATCATATTATAATAGGTGCATTAGTACCTATAATTTATAATTTACATAATAGTCAATACCGAAATACCATATATTAGTATATTAGGTGTGAATAGGTTTATGGTAGATATAAATAACTTAAAATTAGTATTAATTCATTATAGGTGCATAGAAAATAATAATTTATTTACCTATACGTTATGACAAAAAGTTACAAGTTTCTAAAATTAATATTTTTTTAATTGCAACATAACTACCAACATCGTTATTTTTCGTTTAAATATCTAATTATGTCAACATTTAAATTTAAAGCACTAATAAAAAAAAAAAATGGTACATAATATGTAATGTCCATATTTTAAACCTATATATAAGAAGAACTTATGTCTTATGAAGAACCTTGTATTACATTTTTAAGCTTTTTGACAGAAAAAACAAAACATCCTGAAACAATGATGGATAAATACTGTGGTTAAAGAATTCTTATATTTTTTTAAGTTATTGAGGATTTATATCAAATTATCATTATTGAATATAACGCATGATATTTAAGTGTGGTTGTAAAAGTGAAGTATAAATGTATAATTAATGAGAAATAAAGGACTTCAAATGTCAGCGAGGAGCTCCTGAACTGAGGTTAGGATAACCCCGGCTATGGTATAAATAATAATAGGTATCAAATTTATTTTATAAAGCAATAATAAATTGGCAAACACTAGACAGAAAACGATTCTGTTAAAATCTAAAAGTGTATGGTATATGAGTGTTTATGTATATACCTGTAAAACTTTTTAGAGATTTAGTAAGACGTAAGTATGGTTTTGATATTTACCCAATGTCATTTATACTAGGTACTCAATTTTAACGAGACCGATTGTGGGTGTCCTTTCTCCACTCTTTAATTATTTCCACAGACCTTAAATATAAATGTGCTTGAAACCGTATAGCGTATTTATACATTGATAGTATTTGATACCCATACTATTGTCCACCTGCAGTACTTATTAAACTGTCAAAAAATGAAATGAAAATTTTTTTTTTAAAAAACTAAATAGGCATACATTTAAGCAGACATTTATTGTAAAAAAACAAAAACGTTTTAAACAATTGAAAGTTATATTGTCAATTAAATTATTCACATATAAGGAGTAATTGTTAACAATTTTGTAAACAATTATCATAGAATTATTTATGAACTTATATTACAATTTTTTTTGAAGTAACAATTTACGATCATTATGTACCTAGAAAAATCATAACCAGTAGGAAACTAATATTTTTAATAAAATGAAAAATAATGTTTTTAAAATATAAATACTAGGCTTGATAATTTTTTTTTTTTTAATATGAATATATATGACAAAATGTATAGTTGTACACGAATAATCTTTTTACCTGAAAATATAATGTGATATTCCTACACATCTATAATATGTACGAGAAAAATGTTAGAAAAATATTGAAATGTGGACGGTAGTACGGTATTCACTTATATCAATTATAGAAAGTGAATATTATGACCAAACTTAATATTTATAAGGAACTTGAAAGATTTTTACTTTTTAGGTCATTTTCAATATTATAATCATGTTATTGTATTCACAAATTCATATTATTATATACAATTTTAGAAAGTTTTTAAAATATGTTTAAGAAATTTCAAAAATATATTATAGGTACAGGGAGTGATAATGTGACTAAATGTTCAGATTAACGAGATTTAATTTTTTTAAGAATATAATTTTTGTACTTGTTATAGACTATAAACATTCGAACACTGAATTGTTATAATATACGTCTTATATATTATAATATGTGTATATACAACTTATATAAATGTAAATGTTGCATATGTAATTTTATAAAGTAATTTAACTGTGTTTTATTTCAAGCATGGTTACCTGTATTTCAAATCACCGGCGGTGAAGACGTAGGTAACCGGAGACACGTTCGAATACATGATCATGAGGCCAAAAAGCACGCAGCCCGCGAACTGGTAACGGCCCATGCCCACAGTGACGAGCACACTGTCGATGTTCATTTCGATGGAGTCCAAGCCGATTTTCGTGGAGAAACCAACGTATGTGTAACAGGCTAAAACCAACAAAAAAACTCCGACCAAAGAAAGAATAATTGATGGACGCTGAAAACGTCGTAACACGGTCGTGGACGAGTAATACTCGTATGATATAGAACTATAAGCGTACGACGACGATCGTAGCTGCTGTAAGAGTTCGCGTTGATAACCGCTACTCGTGGCGGAAATGCAACAAGTGCGAACGAGTACTTATGTATAATATATATATATGCCCGAAGTGGGTTTACACTTTATACCAAGTCTGATAATGTTATATACAGGATGATTCACTGGGCATGTTCATTGCTCAACTCATTTCTTCTTTAAACGTCTAGTTATTCAAAACCCAAGTTTTGGAATTTTTAAATATATAGGTACTTAAAGATCACATTATTTTGAAATTCTTGAGATTTATGACACTTGTCATATCAAAATAAACACTCAAATGAGTTGTTTTTGAGTTAATGAAGTTTGTGTACAAATGATAATAGGTTCATGATGAGTTTGGAAGATGTGTTGATTTAAAATTGTTGTTAATAATTTATTAAATCTATAAATATTAGAATATTTCTTTTATAAAATTTTTTTAGTTTGTCAAGTATAATGAATATTGAATTCAATATTATCACTAATCCCTATACTGTATCTTTGTAAAAATACATTTAAGGATTGTATAATTCTGTTAAGTTAAACATTTCAATAAATTATAAACTACTCTTCCAAAATTTGAACCAGGTGTATCAATATTTTCAAAACAATTGTCGACTAAATAATTTACAGTATAATAAGGAGTTCTCATTTGAAAAACAGATGATAGTATCACCACATCACATTCCTTAAGTAGTGCAAAACATGGTATTTAATTAGGTATACCACTCCTAAACTCCTTTAAAATTTCCTAAAATCAGAATTTCAATAAATTCATTATCAAAGGAAAAATGGGGATGAGCATGCGTTGAATCACTCTGTACATTATAATATATACTTAACATACATATATGTATGATATCTCTATTTTTATGTACATAGTTGTTCGATAAATTTGTATAACATGTATACATATAAACAAATGTAAGCATATAATATATGTGCTAATATAAAAAATCATGGTTCGTGACAATCGATTAAAATAAATTTTGTTGGCTTATAAATCTAGGTAATTTTATTTTTTTAAATCCAACATTTGTAAATTTTGTAGTAATTTTTACCTACCACTAATATCAGACCACAGTTAATCAGTTTAAAAATATACTTGTGCAAATATTTCGTATTATAGATAAGTGTACAACACAAGGTAAGGACTTCAAATTATATTAACACGTTTTTTTTTCTTAAGAACTCTACAATTTATAGACCTAGATTCTAATTAATGCTCTAACTACTCTAACTACACATTAATTGTATATATTATACCTAGTAGGAATTTTAATTTTTTAAGTGATCCAAATAACTGGATCTATTGTTTCTCGAAAAATATTAGCCATTTTTTTTTTAGTTTGTTTCTAACTGTACAAGATAAATAACATATATGAATAAATATTTAACAATGTCAAATGCGATCAAATATCAATTTTTTTGCCATCTGGAAATTAGTAAACGTTTTATAAACATTTAGCAAAAAAAATAAAAAACAAGAATTTGTATAGTACTTATCCGTTACAAATCCTATTATTTTATTCGTTTTTATGGTGATAAACAAAGCGTAATATATATTTGATAACCATATTATAGATTATTATTTTATACTTCATGTATCAGATTAATTGTTGCGACCATTTTTATTTTTCAACAATTTGCGATATATTTTTAATTGTAGTGAAAATTGGTTTTTTCTCAAAATTAAATTTAAAAAAAAAAGAATTATTTTGAATTAATTATTGTTATTATTGTTGATTTTTGATTTTATATGGTGATAACAAAGCGTAATCCTACACAAAATTGGTTAGAAAAATTGTTTGTATCCAGCCCGAAATATTGATGTTAATATACGTAAAGTTAATATTTATAAATGTATGTACATTGTACATATAACATAGATATGGATAGTTTTCCAAATAAATTACTTCATATTAACACTGTGTAGTGATTTCTTTATAACTTAGAATAATTTTTAAAAGTATTTTATTGCCATAAAAAAAATACCTCTTTTTTATTACAATAGTTTATTTTTTTCAGAAATTATTATAGTATTATAGGCACATATTTTAAATTAACAACTTAATTTTATGTTTATTTTATTTTTATGATTAGAAATTTTTTTTCGGTTTTATTTGAATGTATGTTTATTTCTTCCCAATATGTGGAAATATCCAAAACCATTATAATTTTAACCTATAATTAAGCATGAGAACAAATCAAGGACCTTTCAACCTTTGATACGTTGTGCTAATATTTGTGTTCAGAGGGTTATTTATTAAGTATAGGTAATAATAATAAAGAATAATTTTTTATTTAATGAGGTAAAATAGTTTTAGAGGTTATATACACATTATGTGTCTTACTGTAACCATAAAATCGCAATTGATAAGTAAATAGATAATTTCGGCACATATTTGTGGACCTGTGAATATTTAAAACTAAATAAGAAATACCTAATAAAACAATAAATGATATAAATAATTTAATTTTAAAGATTTATTCTAAATACTTTTTAAAATTATTTTACCTATGTCTGAATGATTGTATGTTAATAATTAACATATAATTATTATAATATAAAATGTAATATAATACCTATAATATAATTATTAAGAACCGAGGAAGTCGATTCAATACTACGGACTACGACTCACCATTAGGGATGGGAAAATACCCGGTAAATTGGGTAAATTCATTTTTTATTCTAAAACCAATCCATAGATATCACAATACTTTTTTATGATTGTTTCCTGACTTTTCCAATAAAATAATAAAAAAGATTATGTTTGACAATAACTATAGTTATCCATTGCAATAAACTAAAGTATTAAAGTTTCATAAAAATTTAATTGAAATTGAAAAAAATTTCTAAAAATGTAACTAAATATTTACCCAAATTTTTGATAGGTAAATATTATAGTGGGTAAATACCCAAAGTATTTACCTACCCGTCGGGTATTTACCCATGGCACATCATTACTCACAATAGTACGGTGTAAATATTTAAAATGTTCTTGGTATACGAGATAAATAGATTAAAATTAATTTAAATTTAGGATAGCATGCGGTAAATAATAATATACGTAGGTAGTGGCAAAAAGTTTGAAAATTATTGTTGATTACACATTTACGTTTAAATATCTAATTTCATCGGAATTTGAACATCAATTAGTCATAAAAAAAATTGAGATGGCTTTTCAGTAGTTTTCAGTTTTTCAGGATTTTTAAATTCCAGTAGAAAAATGTATGAAGAATCTTGTAACTAATGTTCAGGCTTTAGGTATTTAATAAACGTGAGGGTATAGATACGTGTTTACGAGTATACGACCCCTAATATTTTCTTAAATATCAATAGAAAATTGAGCATTTAATACCATTTAGTCTTTGATGTACTATAACGCTTGGCCCTGGTTGCGTGAAAATTTGATTAATTTAATGGTTCAATACATTTTAATGGACAATCATGGGCCACTAAACCATGTTTCAGCCGTTTAAGGGACCATCACTAGCTCTGCACTATTGGTTCATACAATGTTTAAACAGTTTAGTCATGTAATCCGATACACGTCTTTTGATTTATTTTAACTGTGACAAAATGCTTTTTTAACCTGTTTTTTACGCAATCGCGAGTGTAGTATGTACTATGTACATGCCAAGATAATACATTTTAATATTTTATGGATTTATCATATTTTAAACACAAATCAATAACTAATTCAGTTAATTCATATTAAAGAAGGCATATTGAGATTTATAATAATTTAAATAATAAAATTGAAGAATTGAAGAATTGAGCCATTCAGTCATTGACAATATTGATGAGATCATTAAATATTTAAGTGTGTATTATGAAATAACTTTTTATATTACATTTGTATATTTACAATTTACATAGATAAAATAACGTTATTCCTCCTAAACAAACAGTTTGTTTAAATATTGAAAATATTTGTGCTCGAGTTAATATTTATTTTATGAAAATCTCTTACTAACTAACACTACATACTAATATACCATCGAGTATATTATACTATTAGGTATAGTATGTAATATCATTAATATAACTTATTAATGCGATAGGTACATACTACTTTGGTAATTATAACATTACATAAGTACCATCAAGTATCATCAATCGATTTCTTCCATTTTACTACACAGCCGAAGTTGATTAATAATCGTATCAATAGAACATAAAATCGGGAGCTATCATAACCGGAAAGTATAATAATATGTCCGGACCGTATCTCGACGGAATCCAAAAAATATAGACCGTATAAAACACAATAAGGTACTTATAAATTTAAAATAAAGTTGGCCGACATTCGACAATCAATCCAATAGTAATCCAACGATTTCAAAATTTTAGATATTTGATTAAAGATAAAATTTAGGAGCAAGGTATAGTATAAGGCCTATTTAGTGTCGCACAATTAAACCGTGTACAACTATTTGAATATACAATTTGTATAATAATACTAGCTGTATACCCAGACTTTGTCCCGAAAAAAATGAACAATTAATATAAAACACATTGCTATACATAGTATAATAGGACAAATAGGTGTATCTCGGTTTTAGCGTAGATACCTCAATTCAAGGGGAAATCGGCACCTATATTGGTGGGCAACCGGAAGTAGCTGATTGGATTTGGCACTTGGTATATTTTTGAACGTGGTTCGAACTACTCTCTAAATTTTTCTTATATCACTTAGAACAATCCCTGAGGTTTTCAGCAAAATCAGTAAATCTCTAGTTCTTGAGTAGGTACCTAAAAGCTTATACAAACATACATTTGGTTTTAAGATGTATAGTTTCTTTAAACT